AAGCTTTTGGTAGTTGCCTACCGCGACTTCAAAGCTTTCCAGAAGGAGCGAGGCTTGGTCTGTTCCCAAGGCAAGTTTGTGCCGAACTTTGTCACTGCATTGCATTAGATAGCCTGCCAAAATAACTCCTTTGAATTAATGGATGCTGCAACTGAACTGACAACATGCTTTGTCAAGCCTAGGTATGGAAGCCTGACAAGCATGGAGCCCACATGTCGCACAAGGGCTACAACGGTAGAGTGATTACGATGTGGTTGGGCGATTGTATGGAAAGGGCGGCACGGCACTGCATCAGCAACGGCCGTGAGTTTGGGCGATGGCTACAGGAAAGGAATGCAGCACAGGGGATCCCATGGCCTGACGGCGACGATGAGCGATTCGCCCCGATATGTGCAGCAATGATTCTTGAAGCTATTGGTTTTAACTTTCTGTATCATTTTGAGTTCCAACCTGAAGCAGAAAACAACCCAATCAGCTCCTTTTCTACACCCAGCCGAAACCCAAGAAACCCCGATATTCTCAGGCAATCGCTATGCCAATGGTTCATCTCCGTGGAGAAAAGCCCCATATACCTGCCGCTCGGGTGCTGGTTGCCAGACATTTTTGAAAGGTTTCGGGATACTAGGTTTCAGTGTTGGGGAAGTCTTCGATGCACTTTCATTTGAGGTCTGCACAACAGGCGGACGAGATTTATCATCACGGCATGCGATACCTCCGCTACCACGCACTTCTGTGCAAGATGTCTATGAGGCATCACCGGGTTGCTGTGATCGGTACTCCAATGTACTTAGACAAGAGAAGTAACCCCTGAAAGGCTCCAGAAGCTCCATTGGCAAATTCGGCCAAAGGTCCATGAGTTTTGACTGCAATTAAGCGAGTGCGATTCTGCAGATGCATTTCAATGTCATACACTGTGCCGTTTCCCTGCCAAGCCCTTTCACCACCAGCTGGTGGATGTCAGAAATAGACGATTCTTGGCTGAAGCAGTTTGTGGAAGCTTGAACTCGGGGTGCTGCTGTTGAATCTTCTGTATTGCAATAAATTCTCCGAAATCCAGGATTGAATACGAGACTGCACCACACGTTCAGAGAAGAAGATGCTATGCGGTGGCTCAAGGGTGCCACGGCTGCACTAAATCCCGTAATCTCGCCCTGTACCTAGCAGAACGAAAGATTATTCATGTTGTGCCCAAACCATCTCATCCCAGGAGTCGCTCAGAAGGCGGACCGAAAAGGATTCGAAAAATCCGTGATTACCGTGGCCAGATTCCGGCTTGCATCGCTGAGAAGACCCGAAAGGATGGCCGCCCTAAACCGGAACGCCGCATGCAGAAGCTAAAAAGGCGCACCGGATGGCGATCTGGTCGTCAGCGCTGCTGCCGCTGCTGATATGCTGTGATAGGGATCATATATCGGGCCCGCAATCAAAGCCACCACCAATCCTAAATCCCAAAAAATCTTAAATCCGAAACGACATGCCCTGGAAAGTGTAAACATAAGAAACAGTAGCTTGAGTTAAATGCGGTCGTTCAGTGTCTGGCGTCCTTTACTTAGGCGCACCCGTTAAACCGAGCCTTTGGAAGCCTAGGGTATATATATATATATATAAATATGTATATATATATATATATATGAGTTTATATTTTTTTCAAAAATCGAGGCGCTTGCAGGGGGCGGCCCTGCATCTCCCAAGCATCCAGCAAGGCCAAGGCTGCCTTCGAAAGGGACGTTTCAAGAGCCTTGGGGCCTTTAGGGCTTTAGGGGTTTCAGGGGCTTTAGGGTGTTAGGAGTTTAGGGTTTTAGGGGTTTCAGGTGTTAGGAGTTTAGGGTTTTAGGGTTTAGGGTTTAGGGTTGTTTTACCTAGGAAAGCCCAAGGAAACTAGGGCTTTAGGGGTTTCAGGGGCTTTAGGGTGTTAGGAGTTTAGGATTTTAGGGTTTAGGGTTTAGGGTTTAGGGTTGTTTTACCTAGGAAAGCCCAAGGAACCTAGGGCTTTAGGGGTTTCAGGTGTTAGGAGTTTAGGGTTTTAGGGGTTAGGGGTTACAGGGTTACCTTAGGTACGGCCCCATACAGCAAGAGTCTATAATAGGGCCACTATAAAAGTCCTACTATATCTCTTTTATGAATATTATTCAACTGTTACTGAGTGGGGGTCTCTAGGGCCACCAAAAGCAAAGCCAAAAGTAACCCAAAGGATCCATAAATAAGCGGATTAGGGCCTTAGGGGTTTAGGGGCTTTAAGACTTTAGGGTTTAGGGGCCTTTGGGGTCTTTTAGGGTTACCTAAAGTCACCCAAAGGATCCAACATCAGGGGCTTAAGGTTCTGTTTTCTCTGACTTAGTTTAGGGTTTAGGATTTTAGGGTCTGTAGGGTTACCTACCAAGGTGCAAGGAACCCAAAGGATCCATAAGGGGTTTAGGGTTTTGGGTTTAGGGTTTTAGGGTTTTAGGGGTTGGTTAGGGTTTAGGATGTTGGGGCCTTTAGGGTTACCTAGCAAAGCCAAAGTAGCCCAAAGGATCCACGGTTTAGGATTTAGGGTTTAGGACCTGGACCGCAAAAGTATGTAGAATCGTAGCCTTTTATAGGTTTTGGGCCATTCCTTTACCTACTTTGGGGGCTCTAGGTAACCCTGAACCAAACCTTTACCCCTGGACCATAAACCCCATCCTGGCGATCAAGTCCCTACTGCCAAATTTCAAAGAGTGCCAATTGTAAACCCTACAACACCCGTTCCAAAACCCTTATTGCGGCCCTTAGTACATGTCTAAGTTGAAACACTTTCAAAGGTACCAAGAGTAAACCCTGTAAGCCCCTTCTGTGCAAACCCTTATAACACCTTTATAACACTGTTGAAAACCCTTAAACGCCACTAATTAAAAAAGTCAGACCCTTATGAAGCCCTGAAAACTTAACCCCCCTAATTTGGGAGTTTCCGCAAATAGGGGACCCTAATATGGTATCCTAAATAGTAGGATCCTTATTATGAGGAACCCAAAATACTGTATCCCTTAATTTCGGAAACTCCCAAACCCTAAACCCTTTATAGTAGAACCCTTATAGATCCCTTTAAAGGAACCCTTATAGATCCCTTTTAAAGGAACCCTTTCTCGATCAAAAACGGCTCAACTGCCCCAGAACCGAGCCTTCCACTCTCGACCCTTCTCGCTTCCCGAGATCGCGGCACAGTGGGCGATCAGGTTGCCTCAAGATGGTCTCGAAGATGTTTAGGGTTCAGGGTTTAAGGATGTTTAGGGCGTAGGGATGTTTAGGGATTTGGGGATGTTTAGGGTTTATGGATGTTTAATGTTTTGGGTTTATGGCCTGGGGTCGGGGGGCTTAGTAAGTAGTTAGTAGTAGACTTATAAGTACCCTAAAAGGGACCCGAATTGGGGTTATGGTACTTATAAGTCCCTAAAACAACCAGTTACTAAGTCCCCCGACCCTCCAAGTAACGTTAAGACGAATCCCTTTCAGGGTCGCAAAGAGGATATGTCGCCCCGGCGACAAACGATCTCAGAAGGATCCTAATAAAGCAGAACAAAAGCCTCATTACATACTTCACTTCCTTCATGTACCTGTACAAAGTCATATCCCACATCCTTGTTCTGAACCCTAAACGCTAAACCCTGAACCCTAAACACTTTGGAACGGTACATCAAAAGCAACACGTGGGGAGTCACATCCTTTGCAAACTCCAGCTCTGACGAGCGAATTGAGTTTAAGGCTTAGGGCTTCTCCCTGGCGCGAGGGTCAAGACACGTGGAAGGTATAACATAGTATGATTATCACGGAGTTAGAAGGTTGCTAATTATTCGGGGTACAATACAACCGCTAGTTGTTCCACCTGCGCATTTAACCCCAAACCTCGGTTTCGAGCTGCGGATTTCAGCGCGATAAGAGAATTGGGGCCTAATGTAAATTTCTATGAAAGGCTGCAAGTGCCAGCAAGCTTCTCTCCACCCATCTGCAATGCATGTCGTCGAGAAGCCTGGCAACTGGGCATGACGAGTTTGTTGGGCACAAGCAGTCGGCTCGCCGAAACCGAAGTTGCAAAATACCAACCCCAATAAGCTTGCGCCATTGACTTGATGCTATAGCTACCAAGCCGCTTGGCCTTGAGATTCGGGGCCAAACTGCCCGGATGCTGACGGCCGTGGCCCCGCAAATATGTGCTTGACCCTCCCTTATCGGGACTTCACTAGGAACCCTGTCTACATATGCAGATTTTCTGTGTCTGTTTGCTGGTCGCACCAAGTCATGTGCTTGGCACTCACTATGCAAAGATGGCAGGCCCGGCGCACGGCTGTTGCCAAGTGGCGGGCTTGTCTGAACTCGCCGGTGCATTGCACTCCATGCCAAGGCACCGGCCGACCACACAAAACCGGCTCGAGCAATCGAATTAGCATAATGATTTTCACCTCGAAAGTCAAACTGCCTCCTGTAATTGTCACACGCTCGTCTCAGTGGTGGCTGCAGTGGTGGCCTCGGACACCGCGTGAGACTCGTAGTCGCCGGTCTTGCCCTGCAAAGCTCAGACTGCCAGCTGCCACTGAATCACTGCCCACTCAACCCTGACAGCCCACATACCTACGTCTCCAAACTGTCCTACAGGCCTGCCGAAAGAAAATGGTGCAGAATCTCCACATACCCTGAACCCACGATGATTATTAAGGCGACTATACTATAGAACCCTTATAGATCCCTTGCAGGAACCCTGAGCAACCCACGATTATGAAGCTCCAAGCCAGTCTCAACTCGAAAAAGAACCGAAGGATCCGCTTTGGTCTTGAAGCCCTTGGCCTTCTCGACGCTCTGTGCCGGTCCATAGAACATCCCACCCATCTCGGACCAGTAGTAGCAGGGGCTCAGCAGCGCCCAAAACATAACATAGCCCGCATAAGATTTGAAAAGGAGGGGGCCGCCCTCCCGAAACATCATGCCAGAGAAAAAGGATCACTGTGCCACCAGCTCTCCATTCCTCATCGGTGCCAGACAACAAGATGTCAGTCACTCTCCTCGCTAAGCAAAGCATGGAAAGGATCGCCTTCAGCATCCTGTTCCTCGGCAGCATCTTGACGATGAGCAGCCCATTCGCATAATACCCGCACAAAGTAGCGCTGCAAAGCTTGGATTTGACCATCCGTGAAGCCGCAGTTAAGCGTGATTACGCCAGTCTGTCGCATGCACTGAGGCAGGCAGCCGGGAAGAGCTGCAGCAGGAACTCCTCCTGGAACCATGGCGGCCGTCCAAGCAACTGCCAGCTCTCGTCGCGCAGCGTCGTTGGCGCCGCAGGACCATAAGAAGTGATCGGTGTGTTCGTCGTCGAGGCCACAGCGCCGGCAGCGCGCGTCAGCCACCTTAGATGCTTTGAACAGACGGTGTCTGCTCCACAGCGCGTCCGCGAGGAAGCGGGCGTAGCGAGCACCTAAGTCAGAGCCGTCCCACCCGAAGGTACGACGGCGGCATCCCAGCTCGATCAACGGCTGCAAGGTACGCCGTCTGTCGATTCCTGAAGACAAGCCCTCATGACAAATTCTACTGCCATCCCAGTGCTTCCACCACCACGAGCGCAGCTCACAGCGAAGCACATGCTTTGCCTTCTGTCCTTCCCGATCTTTGCGTGCAAGATCAGTCAACCTAATCGCACAATCCTCTCGAGGACAAACATGCTCCCAATCAGGCCAGGTCCAGCCCAAAACCTTCAACGACCGACGAACCAACCTAGCAAATCCGACAACCGTACCTCGAAGCCTAGAGCAGGCCCGCCAGAGAACTCTGACGACTGGCTGACTGCGCAGAGAGAGACGCGCAAGCGCAACAACTGCAGAGTAACACTGAATCATGCTGGGATCCATGCGATGCAAGGGGGCCAGAAGGCCCAATGTCAAAGCTGTGCTTCTCATGTAATTATGAGGGTGCAGGGTCGGTCCCCACCAAGCTTGAACGACGGCCGTCCTGAGCTTATCGATGACCAGCTGAGACACAGGAGTGCCTTCAGCATACAGACCTTGCAAGTATGCTGCAAGCAGACCTCTCCGTGTCTCCCGATTAGGGAGGAGGCGAGCACGCAGTACCTTGGAGCGTACCACAGAGGCTCTGTGATCACCCAGCGTGCAGTCAGCGCCAGATGCTGTCTCGAGCATGACACCGAGGTACTTGACAGACTCCTTAAGTGGAAGTCGACGCCACTCAGCAGCTGAAACATCATCTTGAGCAGGCCCCACAAAGAATCTGCAAGATTTCAAGGGATGGATGCTCAACCCAAAAGCAGCATCGAAGACCCTCGTGGCCCGAAGCGCCGAGGCCAGCACGTCAACATCCTTGTTTAAGAGACATCTGTCGTCTAAGAAAACACGAAGCAAATCAAGCTTGGGAAGGCTCCAAACCCAAGCAGCCATCACGAGGTTGAGGGCCCACGGGGCAAGAGGGTCCCCCTGAGGAAGTCCCCTCTGCTCCGCTGCTTTGATGGTCACGCCGGTGGGCCCATCGCAGAGCCAAACATGTCTCGTCAAGCTTTCCCAAATGCTCACGACGTTGAACATGCAAATCGGGGCGCCCGCATGCCGCAGGAGAGCCTTGAGACTGTGCAGGCTCACGGTGTCGAAGCACTTAATCGTGTCAAGACAAGCGCCAGCCAGAAAAGCATCATCGAAATGCGAGGCGGCAAGCCAGGAGGAAACCTCGTTCCCCGTATCCACAGCAGACGGAGCGCCATTGCGACCGCCGACAAGTTCATCCGGAAACCAGGAGCACCACTCGCCGAAGTGCTTCGCAGTTCGAGCCGCCCACATTCTGTAAACAGTATGCAAAATAGACAAAGGCCGTGCCGACCCATCATCCTTCGGGATACAAACCAGACGAGCGTTGCTCCACGAAGCTGGAAAGGGAAGCCCCTTGTCAAAAGCATTGAACAAGTCAACAAGCCGTTGAAGATGCTCATCTTCCAGATCGCCGATGTGTTGGAAAGAAATCCCATCAAGACCAGCCGCCGTGGAACGAACCTGAGCTCGAATGTCCTGAATGGTCCACTCCGGAAGGCCCGGAAAGGGCGTAGCCTTGGAAGCCACAACCTCACTGAAGGTCTGAGCCGCCAGAACCTGTTTCCGAACCTGAGCAGGACAAGCCTCAGTCCAAAACGGCAACCACTCTCTCCTGACTGCGCAGCCTTGTTCAGTCGGTGTGAGAGCAGGCTTTCCGTCCGCCCTCAGCAAAGCTAAGGGTTTGGTGGGCCCCTGCTTAACCCATTTGGACGCCTGAGAAACGTCTCGCATTCGGATCTTCCATGCCGCGATGGCACTGCGCCGGCGATCGTTGAGAGAATTCCTCAGCTCCACCTCGGTGGCTTCATACTGAGCATGCTTCCGGGGGGTCCATCCCGTGACAGAGGCCTCAGCAGACAGGCGCCTCAATCTATTCATGAGGCCCAAAACAGCGTCCGTGTCCTTAGCAACGACCGCTCCCTTGGCGGTTCTGTAAGGAGTCTCTTGTCCCGTCAAACCGAGAGCACAGCCAAGCCAAGTACTCCATGCTGTTTGCGAGTCGTTGCGCGCAATGGCATCGTGAAAAGCGGCATCATCTTGGGCAGACCAAGGTCGGGACACTGGCCTCGGTAGAGCCCAGGCAATGCGGTCCTCCGCATGAAGCTTGCCAGGGACATCACAGATGAGTGGTGCGTGCTGCGTAGTAACCTCGTTATGAAGACCAACGACGTTGGCAGGCTTGAGGCTCCCACACCCAACAAACCCGTCAATGGGATGACACCAGGAGTGTTTGACAGAGCTACGCCAAGTACCAAGCATGGTATGACCAAAATGGCCAGAGCAAGGATGAATCTCAAGAAGATCGGTATTAAAATCCCCCCCAGAAAACCAAACTCCCGGCTTGTCTTGCCACATGGCCAGTTCCCCAAAGAAGGCTTCCTGCGTACCTCGCTTCTTAATGGGGGCATACACGCTCGCAACTCTAGCAAGATCACCCCCGGCAAGCCTGAGGGCGACAGAACAGATTTGTTGAGAGTCCTGAAGCGAGCCAGCTGAATACCGGCGATGGACTAAGATCATTTCACCATACCCGCAAGCCCGAGGGGGGC